GAGATGTCAGGGATGATTTTCTTCTTTCCGAGGATGAGCTAGCATAGTAAGAAGATGTAACCCAATTGGTCCAGATTCATGAAAATTCATTGATTCTTTTTTGGATCTGAGTTAATGTCATTCAGACATCCGTTTTATGTGACTGTGCCTCAAAAATAGTTTAGTACATTTTTTTCTTGTCTAAGTGTCAGCTCCATCCTGAGTTCCAATAGTAGCTTTTATCTTGAGGTCTGGTGTGAGGCATTAAATTCATATTCTTGGATGAAAGACAAGTGAGAACATAATTTTATTGCTACCATAATTTTATTGCTATCTTACTGTTGTAAAACATAATTACTAAATAGTATGTCCTTTATGCATTCTGACAATGAGATTATGACTGACTTTTCCTTTTCAATAGGAAAGCTATTTGGGGCTGTCATCATCATCACATAATGGAGTCTTGCTTGTAGGGGGTCACATTTTAACTTCCAATGACTTTTCTATAACAGCCTCTTAACATAGAAGTCTCAGGTAAATTGAAGCTACTCCCTGCAGGAGATAAAGTCAGATATCAAACTAACCATTATCCATATTCTGGAAACTGCTGGTGTCATCAGTGTTTGTTATGGCGCTTAATTTATAGGCTTATTTTAAGCCAAGGCTTCAATGTGACATACTTTTATGGGAGAGAATTTCTTGCATCAAGACCATGTAGTTAAAAATCATTAAAATTACAAAAGTCATATCATCACTATTGAACAATTCATATCTATAAGCTATTTAATATGGCAATTAGGGACTGTTGGGCTCACTAGCCCAAATCAGTAGGTTAATTGAAATTAAGCCTGTTCTCACATATTTGATTGTCTGGTATTTTCTCTATTTCTGGGTAGGATGATATATTAATCTGGACATATGGTCTCCTAATAGCATTTGAAAGCCTTATTCCTTACAGATAGAGGACAGCTCATTAAACAAATACATGAAATGCCCTTAAATCAGCATTGAATATTAAGGGAACAGAGTATTAAATAACAGATAGCAGGTAAAGAGTGATATATAACTATAAACAATGAATTTAGATTACTATTACCAGAGTGTTTCAGAAGAGAGAAGGAAAGGGAAAATTCAAAGCCCACAGCGTTAATATTTCCTTCTGACTTTTCATCTTAGAAATAGCTAAATGGTTCAGTATCCCCCAAGTTTATACAAATATGCAGAACTGAGTTTTTGTCCTTAGGCAATGTTCTGCTTTTTATAATGAAAGCAATTTTTTTTCACATTTTGTTTTGTTGACTGGAATAATTCTTTCACCAGGAAAATAGGTGTCATTTAACATAATGACACATTTGAAAATATTTTTAATTACCAATGTAAGTTATTTGTTATTTTAGGAATTATTCTGAACCACACAAGGGTAGGTTTTTTGGGTTTTTTTTTTTGCGGTACGCGGGCCTCTCACTGTTGTGGCCTCTCCCGTTGCGGAGCACAGACTCCGGACGCGCAGGCTCAGCGGCCATGGCTCACGGGCCCAGCCGCTCCGCGGCATGAGGTATCTTCCCGGACCAGGGCACAAACCCGTGTCCCCTGCATCGGCAGGCGGACTATCAACCACTGTGCCACCAGGGAAGCCCAAGGGTAGGTTTTTGTTTTTGTTTTTTCCAATTCCCATTTTACAAATGGGTCAATTGATGTCAGACAAAGTAGAGTAATGACATTACTCTAATTTAAGAACAAACATTCACAACGTTTTGTGGGGTGGATGGCAGTATTTTCCTTAGTGCTCAATGTAACTTTTCTTAAAATATAAATGAGATTATTGTCTCTTCAGACTCTCAAAATTTTCAAACAGCTAAACAGCAGCATTAGTTACTATTGTAAATTTTACCTACTTGCATAAGTATATGAAAAGTACCGGTCCATAATATCTTGAGGTACAACTTGAGGTGAAATAAAAAACTCAAAATATTTGGAGTTAAATATAAATTTAATGTCTTATCTGACTGTATGGAATTAATTTTTCTACTAGTTGTAAGTGAATAAATTGTTTTTATGGAAAAATTTATGTACCTGAAAAAACTAATTATCACATTTTGAAGCCAATTCATTTTTATGAATACATTATATTATTTGCAAATTTCCTCTCCCATTTAGTACATTGTCTTTTCATTTGGTCAGTGGTTTCCTTTGCTGTGCAAAAGTTTGCAAGTTTACTTAGGTCCCATTTGTTTAATTTTGCTTTTATCTCCTTTGCTAAAGGAGACAGGTGCAAAAGAATATTGCTACAATTTTTGTCAAAGATTGTTCTGCCTGTGTTTTCCTTTAAGAATTGTATAGTGTCTGGTCTTACATTTAAGTCTTTAATCCATTTTGAGGATTTGGTTTTTCTTCTTGTATATGGTGTTAGAGAATGTTCTAATTTCATTCTTTTACATGTAGCTGTCCAGTTTTCCCAGTACCACTTATTGAAGAGACTGTCTTTTCTCCATTGTATATTCTTGCTTCCTTTGTTGTAGATTATTTGACCATAAGGATGTGGGTTTATTTCTGGGCTTTCTATCCTATTTCAATGATCTATGTATCTGTTTTTGTTCGAGTACCATACTGTTTAGATTACTGTGGCTTTGTAGTATACTCTGAAGTCAGGGAGTGTGATTCCTCCAGCTCTGTTCTTCTTTCTCAAGATCGTTTCAGCTATTCGAGGTCTTTTGTGTTTCCATACAAATTTTAAAATCATTTGTTCTAGTTCTGTGAAAAGTGCCCTTGGCATTTTGAGAGGGATTGCATTGAATCTGTAGATTGCCTTATGTAATATGGTCATTTTAACAATATTAATTCTCCCAATTCAAGAACATAGTATATCTTTCCATCTGCTTGTATCATCTTCAATTTCTTTCATCAGTGTCTTAGGTTTCTGAGTAAGGTCTTTTACCTCCTCAGCTGGGTTTATTCCTAGGTATTTTATTCTTTTCAATGCTATGGTAAATGGGGTTGTTTCCTTAATTTCTCATTTTGTTACTTCATTGTTAATGTATAGAAATGTGACAGATTTCTTATATTAATTTTGTATCCTGCAACTCTACTGAATTCAGTGCTGAGCTCTCAGTTTTCGGTGGTGTCTTTAGGATTTCCTATGTATATTATCATGTCATCTGCAAACAGTGACAGTTTTACTTCTTCTTTTCCAATTTGGATTTCTTTTATTTCTTTTTCTTCTCTTATGGCTGTGGCTACAACTTCTAAAACTATGTTTAATAAAAGTGGTGAGGGTGGATATCCTTGTCTTGTACATGATCTTAGAGGAAATGCTTTCAGCTTTTTACCACTGAGTATGATTTTAGCTTTGGGATGGTCATATATGGCCTTTATTATGTTGAGGTATGTTCCCTCTATGCCCAGTTTCTGGAGAGTTTTACATCCAACACATATAAACAGCTCATACAACTCAACATTAAAAAAAACCCAAACAACCCAATTAAAAAATGGGCAGAACAACTGAATAGATACTTTTCCAAAGAGGAACTGCAGATGTTCAGCAGGCACATGAAAAGATGCTCAACATAGTTAATCGTCGGGGAAATGCAAATCAAAACCACAATGGGATATCACCTCACTCCTGTCAGGATGGCTATCACCAAAAAGAGCACAAATAAGAGAGGATGTGGAGAAAAGGGAGCCCTCATATACTGTTAGTGGGAATGTAAATTGCTGCAGCCACTGTGGAAAACAGTGTGAAGGTTTCTCAAAAAACTAAAAATAGAACTACCATAGGACCCAGCTTTCCACTCCTGGGTATACATCCAAAAAAACCCCCAAAAGACACAATGCACCCCAACTTTCATTGCAGCATCATTTACAATTGCCAGGGTATGGAAGCAACCTAAGTATCCATCAACAGATGAATGGATAAAGAAGATGTGGTATTGTATATACAATGGAATATTTCTCAGCCATAAAAAAAAAATGACATTATGCCATTTGCAGTAGTATGGATGGACTAGTACGGCATTATGCTAAGTGAAATAAGTCAGACAGAGAATGACAAATACTGTATGATATCACTGATATGTGGAATCTAAAAAATATAACAAACTAGTGCATAAAGCAAAAAAGAAGCAAATGCACAGATACAGAGAACAAATTAATGGTTATCACTGGGGCAAGGGTAATCCTAGGGATAGGGGAATAAAAGGGTTATTAAGGGATTACATGAAATCGTGTGTGAAACTTTTAAAAATTGTAAATTACTCTAGAGCTTAAAGAATCTTTGATTTGATTGAAAAACAATACATTATAAACAACGTTTGGATGTCTATTATCATAATGTTTCAGAAGAAAAGGAAAATCATAAGAGAAAGTAAGGGAAAATTGATATTTTAATCCTTACTCTATTTATGTCAACATTGGAGTGAATAAACATTCTGCCGAAGTGGAAAGTAACTGATGCTCTTATCTTCTGCTTGAATAAAGCCTAGATTTGGAAATTTTAGTTGACATGGCCAGTCCTTATCCATTTGTTTTTCCTTTATCCCTTCCCTGTATATTGCTATTCACCATCTGTTAGTGTGATAATTTTGAACATGAAAAGGTATTTTGCCAGGAAAATTAAAAGTTAAATTTGTGATACTTAATGAATGACTTAGGTGGGGTTGAATGCTTGATATAAAGAATTGATTGAAAGAGTCACCTTTTGAATGAAATGACCTAAATGAGGTAATTCTCATAGCCATCGACATTCATTAGAGTATACTAGAGTACCTTCCAAGTACAAATTCCTCTGACCAAAAAAATACGATTTATTGGTTTACCATATAGCATTTATCAACTGTCTTTTATTTTAAATACAAAGAGGAAAAACTAAGATTTGTGTGGAGTTATTTGAGAACACTTTCATAAGGAGGAAATTATTACCAACAGAAAAATGTATTCAATTGCTGTTATGTTGACCTTTTACAGTACATGAACTTAGAATCCCTACAGTACATGAATTTGTTAGTCTTTTGTTTGTTTGTTTCCAGGTTAACCACGTTCTTCTCAGCTTTCAACCAAAAGTAAGAAGAGACATTAGGATTTTCATTCTTTCTGGGTTGCTTCCTTCCTGAAGAACAATGGGGATGCTGTTAAGTGGAAGAGGATTAATCACATCTCTAATTTTCTTCTTGTTAAAATTCTCAACAGCTGTTGATATACCACTTTCAGGTAAAGTGACAACATTCAATACCTACTTATAAAAGTCCATATTTGCATTTTGATTTTTAAGTAGAATAATTATATGTTAAGGATGTGATTTTTCTACCATATTTCTACAGATTTTACAGCAATCTATCATCAGAATTCATGTTCTCCTTTTAAATTTTTCAGAAGACTTACATTTGGCCGCTTGCTATAATTAATTATTTTGCAGCTTTTAGCCTCTTAGACAAACTTGGCACATAACAAGAAATATAACCTATACATCAGGTGCTATTTCACCGCGTAAGATAATCTGCAATATTAGCAACAGCTATTACTTTTATGTATCAGATTTGTTTATTTTAGGGAGAAGTGTGACTCCAGAAGTTACTGGCATTCAACTAATCAGGACAAAAAAGGAACTGATTAAACTTTGTATTGTTTTCAAAATGATTATATATTTAAGAGTGGTACACTATTGATACTATGTATAAAATAGATTACTAGGGCTTCCCTGGTGGCACAGTGGTTGAGAGTCCACCTGCTGATGCAGGGGACACAGGTTCGTGCCCCGGTCTGGGAAGATCCCACATGCCGCAGAGAGGCTAGGCCCGTGAGCCATGGCCGCTGAGCCTGAGCATCCGGAGCTTGTGCTCCACAACGGCAGAGGCCACAACAGTGAGAGGCCCGCGTACCGCAAAAAAAAAAAAAAAAAACAAAAAGATAACTAGTGAGAACCTACTATATAGCACAGGGAACTCTACTCAGTGCTCTGAGGTGACCTAAATGGGAAGGAAATCCAAAAAAGAGGGGATATTTGTATACGTATAGCTGATTCACTTTGCTGTACAGTAGAAACTAACACAACATTGTAAAGCAACTATACTCCAATAAAAATTTTTTTTAATTATATATTTAAGAATGAAAACAATTAGGACAATATTAAAAAGCCGTTTTCATAGTACACAACTAAAAGTGTAAAATGATACCACCTCTGCAAATTTAGAGCATTCTCTAGGGTGAATTCATATCAAAATGTTAGTCGTGATATATCTTAACATATATTGGTAAAATGGATGTAACTCTATCATAGATCAGTTTCAACAAGTTATAGTAATTAGTTCAAAAAACAGTACACGTGCAAACACAATTTATGTAATAGTGTATCAACTAATGTACAGGTTTGGGGAATTTCTCATTTATAAGCACATAGGATTTTAAAAAAGACCATTGAGAGATTACTTAGGTATTTTTATCCATACAGTTGAAGAATTAATCCCTATTATTTCTTCCATACCTAATTAGGAGAGCTATAATGTAAGAGATAAGAATGTTTATTAGAACCTTAGCATTGGAAATGATCTGTGCAGATCATCTAAATTTCAAAGGACTAGTCTTGACCTCAGAAAGTTGAATAACTATTGGAGAGGTGCTAACACAACTGAAACTTTTCTTCAGAAGTACTTGGACAGTCTGAGTGTGACTAGAAAAGGAAATAATTCTCTGAGTATATAATATGTTCTAAAACCATTTTCTAAGGGCTGCTTTAAATACTTGATGTAGCAGTTTCACATGACACACTTTGGGTGGCCCTGCATTTGTATTTCATCCCCAAGGTAAGAATCTTTTCTCTACTGCCCTCAAGTCTCTGTGTCAATATTCACCCTTTTAAGGAATTTCACTTACACGTTCTCAGATTTAAACTTTTGCTTTAGTCAAGGTGAAATCTGTTAGCCTACACACCACATATATTGGCCTATTTGTACAAACACTGGTCAAGAGCCTGAAATAATTCATCTTAAGTACATTCTTTGGGTTTTGAGTATGCAGTGCCAAATTAAGAGCACAGTTCTTGGCAATCCTTGTGGAAAAAGGGGTTAATAATTTTACATTTTCTTCCCAGTAGCACCAAAGATGCACTGGGATTCCTGATTCAGATTCTTGACCATAGAATATACATTCTGACCATAGCATGTACATTTTCCCTCCATCTTTTCTCATTTAGTTCACCAGTGGTGATTGGAAATTTTGTATTAGTACATAAGACACATTTTTATTCTGGTTGTCTCAGTTACTTATGCCTTTTCACACTCTAATGTCGTTAGACAACAATTGTTATAAAATATTAATGACATGTTTTCAGAACATCTGAATACTACCCATTTATTTCAGTACTCTAGAGCTCTCACTAGCAAATGCAAGTAAGGCAGGTATTCAATTTGAATGTCAATGAGTCTGGTGTCTCTGTAATTGGCCTAATTATGGAGGAAAGGATTTATAATGTAGAATACATATTGTTATAAACACCCAAAGGTTATTAGCTCCACTCCCTGAATAATTAGTTATGGCTGAGACTTTACAACCTTAGGAAATTTAAGAAAGAATAATGTTCTAATAAACAAGTTGTTCACAAGTTATTAGCTGATATCTTAGGGACTGTTGCTATTGTGCATCATCCCTCACCATTTATAACTGTAATAACATTTAAATAGTATGTGAATCTGCAGTAAGTTCAAGATCTGCTCTACTGAGAAAGAGTGGTAATCAGAAACAAGGTAAATGTCAATGAAGATATGAATGTTTTTTGCATGTTTTTAAAATGTTTCTGAATATGAAGCCTGCACTTGCATTGTCACTTAACTAGTAAAATTTTACTAGGCAAAAGTAAAGAAAAGTTTAAAATGGGAAATGGCTGTTGAGTTATTCTAGGCTGGCCGTCAGTGCTCAAAATGTGATTCATGGACCCCTCAGGGTCACGGAGATTTGTTCAGGCAGTCCATGCAATCACATGTTTCATAATAATACTAAAGTGTCATTTTTCCTTTTCCATCCTGTTGACATTTGCACTGATGTCACAAAAGCAGTGGTGCTAAAACTGCAGTTGCCCAGCACACATCAAGGCATTGACACCGAACTCATGGGTTTCCTCAGGACCGTATACTCACACCAAAACAACAAAACATCTAAAAAACATAAAGCAAAGTTTTGCTTAAGATTGTCCTTGTTGAAACAGTTAAACATTATTGATTTTTAAAAATCTTCGTCCTTGAGTACATTCGTCTTAATATTCTGTGGGATGAACTGTGAAATATACATAAAATAATTCTGCTGTGTAACAAAGTACTATGACAGTCTCTGTTCCTTGATTGTGTCATTATTTGAGTGCCAAGCCAAATACCATTTTTACTTAAAAGTACAACTGACAGACAAACTTTGATTACTTTCATGGATATTTTCCCCAAAACGAACCAAGTGAGCCTGTCACTTCAAGAGAAACAACTGATAATATATGTTGTCAATGATCAAATTTGGCTGTTGAAGCGAAAATGAGAATTGTGGAAAACTTGTATCCTACACTGTGAGATTGACAGCTTCCCCACATTTAAGGCTTTTCTTAGATCAGTGATGATATTAACAAATGTGAATTTTTTAAATTGTACAGTGATGTGTGTCAGTATTTGGAAGATCTGCATAACTCAGTGAACCAATATTTTTTTCCAGATGAATATTGTACGATGTTACAAAATCATGCACGAATTAAAAAGCACCCATGGATAAAACACTTTAATGACAGAATATGAAAATTTATCTATATGGTTTCAGATTCCATATTGCAGTAAACCTTTAAGAAACTGCCACTTGGTGAGTTTCGGTGTACTATCCAAAAACAATGCCCACAATAATCAGAAAGGACTATAAAATATGTCACCCTTTTTCAAGTACATATCTGTATAAGGTTGAATTTTCCTCATTTATTTCAACAAAACAACTTACAGCAACATGTGGAATACAGAAGTAGATATGAGAATCCAGCTGCCATCTATTAAAATATTAAAGATTTGCAATAATGTAAAACAAGGCCACTTTTCTCATTATACTTAGTATTTTTGATAAAATATTTATTTTAACAAATGATAGTATTAAATGAATTAGTAAATATTTAGACGATTTCTCAGTTTTCATTTCTAACATGGTAAATATTATTAAATGTACGTTTACAAAAGCACTTTGGGATTTCCTATAATTTTTAAGAATGTCAAGGCATTCAGTGACCAAAAAATCTATTTACCTGGCTTGAATCTCTAATTTTACAAATGAGAAAACAGAGTGGTTCAGGGCCTGGCTCAATGTCACAGGGTTTAGGGCCTATTTGTAACTCCGCTGTGGAATATTACCCATGTGAATCACACTCAGGGCCTTTCTGCAAATTGCTTTTCTCAAAGTATGTTTGCCAGAATCAGATTCCTGCTACTGAACCATTTATATTTCCTTGTGAATTCAATCCTGTCCCCTGACAGAGGTTGTTAGAACTGTACTAAAATTGTAATGTCTTAATTTGAAAACTGTTGAGTGTTCCATGACAGTAGATCTTAACATATATCATGATCTGTGTCCTATTTTAAAACTTAATCCAAGTTTGTATCTTCAGCGTTAGTACATTTATTTTATAATCATAATTCTCGGCAATGCCATCCAGCTGCTTGAATTGGCGAGAGACAAAGTCACCCCATACTTTGTAAATTTGTCTGGAAGGTACTTAACTTGTCAAACACTAAAAATGTTTATCACAATGAGGGAATATTTGAATATGTGGAATCCTTTTAAAAGAAACCATCATTTATTAGCTATTATTTTTATCCTAATGATTATTAGTGTTAAATTCTATAAGGGGGAAAAGTACCCTCAAGCTTCCAAGTAGGAAAAAGATATTAAAAAATGTGTGTAAATGGGAAGTTACAAATAAACAAGCTCAGGGAAAAATATAACAAAAGCAATAAATGGAAATAAAAATAAAGAGGAGAAGGGTTTTGGGTTTTTTTGCTAATTATTAATGAAGTATCTTATTGTTTTAAAATGCTATTCTTGAGACTTCCCTGGTGGCACAGTGGTTAAGAATCCACCTGCCTATGTAGGGGACACAGGTTTGAGCCCTGGTCCGGGGAGATCCTACATGCCGCGAAGCAACTAAGCCCGTGAGCCACAACTACTGAGCCTGCGCTCTAGAGCCTGCAAATCATAACTGCTGAGCCCACGTGCCACAACTACTGAAGCCTGTGCACCTAGAGCCTATGCTCCGCAACAAGAGAAGCCACCGCAATGAGAAGCCCACGCACCACAACAACGAATAGCCCCCGCTCACCGTAACTAGAGAAAGCCCACACGCAGCAACGAAGACCCAACGCAGCCAAAAATAAATAAATAAAAAAATTTATAAAATGCTATTGTTTGTTGGCGGCAAGGATGTGGGAAACCAATGTACTCATGTGTGTGGTAATTAGCCCCTTGTGAAATACTAACATTTATCCATAGTCATTACCATTTATGTCCATGCCTGGAAATTTATCATGTCACTAATTCAATAAAGGAAAAATCTGTATGCTTGAGGCTGTCTATTGAATGAAAAAAATCTAATGTCCAATAATAAAATTATTAAATAAATTATCAAATACCAATGGAAGAAACCATACAGAAGTAGTAAATTAACTATAATGTCTTACAAAACTATAAATAAAAAACAGAATTGTCAATGACCGAACCAAGTAAAACTGTATAAACACATCAACATAGATGAAATGCCAATAATTTAAACATAGATGTTTTAAAGTTGTTACACTGTTACGTTATTCTGGCATTAAATAAGTTATATGGCAACATGAATTGATGGCAGTGAAGTATATTCCCTACAACTAAATACATTTTGCGAAGAGGAAGTGAGGTTTGTTCGATAATTTTCATTCTTTTATAATCCTTGTACTTACCAATATAGAAAGTGTGTTTATTTCAAAGTATTTCTGTTGTAGCTAAACTAACTTCACCCAATTATTGGAGAGCATGTTATTTAAATACATATTTTAATATTTAGTTCAACAGGTTCCAACAATCATAAAACAGTCAAAAGTACAAGTTGCCTTTCCTTTTGATGAGTATTTTCAAATTGAATGTGAAGCTAAGGGAAATCCAGAACCAACGTGAGTATTTCCTTCAAACTAAATAATTGTTTAAATGTATACAATCCTTTATATTAATTTTTACTCTAATCAGTATAAGCTTATTGGACTATAAGTCTACATATGATTGAAAGTAAAGATTTCCAAATGAATGATAGCCATGTCTATAAAAATAAAGTTTGGTTATTTTACATATGTTCTTTTGCCAGTTAAAATTACTTTTATCATAAAATGTCTTACGTTAAATACTTAGCATAGACTTTGGCATTGTGGAAATATTAAACAATTCTTTACCTTATGAGTGAACAAGATAGCTAGAAAACAGAAGATACTTTATTCTGATGAGTGAAAGGTAGCATTTATTAAGCCAAAGTTAATATATTTATAAGTGATATTCTATACATAGTTATTATTGCATGTCTTTTAATGTAACCATATTGTATTCAGTGAATAGGTTGTTACTTGATATATTTTAAGTTGTCATAGAAATGTCGACTCATCCTAGATGGCAGCATACAAATGACATGGGATATTACTATCTAGTATTTTATTATTAGTGAAACAATTATTACTGTAGGTAATTGTAATCACTGATGAAGTTTTTTCTAAGTATCTCCCAGTTTGGAGAGAAAGAAATGTGCGTGTATTGAGATTAAGGAGGGAAACGATGTGGGGAGAATTCAAGATTTTAAAGTTCTACGAACGTATGGATACCAAGGGGGGAAGGGGGGGGAGGTGGGATGAATTGGGAGATTGGGATTGACATATATCCACTATTGATACTATGTATAAAATAGATAACTTATGAGAACCTACTGTGTAGCACAGGGAACTCTACTCAGTGCTCTATGGTGACCTAAATGAGAAGGAAATCCAAAAAAGAGGGGATATATGTATACGTATAGCTGATTCACTTAGCTGTACAGTAGAAACTAATACAACATTGTAAAGCAACTATACTCCAATAAAAGTTTAAAAAAAAAAGATTTTAAAGTTCTAAATGATTCTGGGAAGCAAACCTACATACCTTTATTGATTTACCTGATCAGGATTATTTAAAATTGTAATGTGAATAACATTTTTATTGCCTGATAATTGGATATTTTAAAAATTATTAGTGAATCATTAACATGTTAAATTGTCATTATTCACTGGCAAAAAACAAGATTTTACAAATACGAATTAAGCAGTCAATCATTATTCTTTTTTCAAGGTGTCATTAAATGCCTATACAAAACAGAAAATATTAGAAAACAAGAAAGAAATATCCCATCACAATAGTAAAAGGAGCAAATCCAGTAATTTCAATAGTAACAGCAATATCAACAAAACATAATATGAACTGTTTAGCATGTACATTGCAGAGTAGGGTAAAAGAAAACTTGAATGAATGGAAAGATATAACATGTCACCAATTGGAAATGCTTAATTTTGAATATGTGGAGTTATCCTAGTCAATGTATTGGAATTTTAAAGAACAGATTCTATGTGTTCTTTTGTAAGTTAAAGCAGTAAAAACATAGAGAAAAGAAGTAAAAGTTGTTGTCAGGAGAGAGGCATGCTCCGAAGAAAAACATGTGTCTCGTGAAATTTTGTTATTCTTTTTGAAAGAATGTTAGATTATGTAAGACTGTGTTGTCCTGAAGCAAACCTAAATTTGCATGGGTAATTCATATATAAAATACTAAATAAAATCTAATTGGGAAGTCATTATATATCTGTTGGATTGATAAAGATTTAATAAAAGGCTTTTTACAGCCTTGTCCATAGAAGTGACTCTGTTACATATGGGGGTAGGAATTTGTGTATGTTTTTTCTGGAATACAATTCTGCAATGTTTATCAAAAGTGATAAAATATTTCTTATGTTATTGGTTTATCAGTTTCATTTTTAAGGAATTAACCTAATGAAATATTTGGATAAGTACCCCCCAAAATAAATATGTAGGGTTTTTTGTAACAAAATTGTTCATAAAAGGGAAAAATGGAAATAGTTAAGTAAGTTAAATAGTAACTGTAAGACAGGAGATCATGTAATAAAATCTGTCTTTAGTAACATTGTAATAATTGGAAAAACTCACATGGAAAAATTATACATCCATTGTGGTCTCAAATATGTTACAGCTATGTCCAAAAATATTGATCATATATGACCAAATTTAATAGCACTTGCTTGTGTGTTTTTGAATTTTGAGTGAGCTCTTCACACGCGTGTGCGCGCACACACACACACACACAGTGACATATTGTATATTTATATTTTTTAGTCTCCAAATATTGCAGTCTCTAAAATACTAGTAAAGATCCTGCATTATCTTTCTAATTGGAAAAGTTTTAAAATATAACTTTAAAAAGAACAGAACAAAACCTATTTTCACCTTTTTTTCCTGTCAGTTATCACAGCTTTTTCATGGCTTGTTTCTCAGTCAATTCTGGCTGCTGTAATAAAAATATCACAGATTGAGTGCCTTAAACAATAAACATATTTCTTACAGGTCTGGAGGTGAGAATACCAAGATCAAGTCACTGGCAGATATAGTGTGTGGTGATGACCTGCTTCCTGGTCACAGACAGCGGTCTTTCCCCTGTAACCTCACATGATGGAAGGGAGCAAGAAAGCTCTCTGGGGTCTCTCTTATAAGGACACCAGTCCCATTTGTGAGGATTCCACCCTCATGACCTAATCACCTCTCCAAGGCCCTGCCTTCAAATACTATTACAATGGGAATTAGGCTTCAACATACGAATTTTAGGGGGACATAAACCTTCAGTCTGTAGGAGTTTGTAAGATTTCTCAGATTCTTCAGAGACCCTTTTTTGTATTATATTCAATTAAATATGTAAATATATACTTTTTTTTTTACTATAAAAGATCTGTTTCCTCATTTCTGTACATTTGTTTATAAGTAAGAAATACGATTTTTCAGGATTACTAGTTTTAGTTTTATCTTACAGATTTTCGTGGAGTAAGGATGACAAGCCTTTTGATCTCTCTGACCCTCGGATAATTGTATCTAACAACTCAGGAACATTCAGGATCCCGAATGAGGGGCACATATCTCACTTTCAAGGGAAATACCGCTGCTTTGCTTCTAATAAACTGGGAATTGCTATGTCAGAAGAAATGGAATTTATAGTTCCAAGTAAGTATTACAGTGGCGATTTCATTTAATGTTTTAATGAAGTTTAGCAGGCGTTATACTGGGCTGCAGTGAAATAACAGATTATTCCTTTAATCAGCTTATATAGGCCTTATATTTTATTTATAAGGGAAATTGTCTTCCAGATCTTGATACATCCACTAGAAGTGGATGACCTTGAAAACAACATAATTTTGCTGTGTTTCAGTAATAATATATGTAACATGGGAAAACAATAGTATTTGTTTTGCCTCATAGGATAAAGTTAAATATATTAGTTAGATTTGGCTAAATTATACTGCAGTCACAAGTAATCCCCAAGCCCTCGTGTTAACCCAAGGTTATTCCTTGATGATGCAGTTTGCTGTGGGTCAGGCAGCTCTTCAGGGCAGCTGTTCTCCTTGCAGCCACTGGGCGATCCAAGCTAATGGAGGTACCCATCATCCTGTGTCAGCACCATGTGAAACTTGTGCCATCTAGGTCAAAGAGTGGAGGACAGAGAACGTTGCTTCCAACAACAAGTTACACAGGCAGCTGCTACTCACAGTTTGTTAGGTGGGGGCAGAGCAAATGGCATGGGCCCACTTAAGTTCAATATTGTGGGTGTCCCCTAGGAGAGGAGAACCAGTGATTAGTATATTGTAGTAATATTTTCCATAAATCATGATCATGGAAAACTGCAAGCTCCTTTACTCTTAAGAGTGTTATTTATCAATAACTATTCCAAAGAGTAAGCAACTTCTTCATTATCAGATCTGGCCTCTGCAGCATGGGATCTCTGATGACTGACTTCCAAGTTTGGTCATTTATTTTCCCAGATTTTAAGGTATCCAACACTACATGATTCTAACCAAAGGGTTTACAGAAAAAAATCTTAGGTATAAAACTGTCAAGAGTTGCTATTTAGAAATTTCTTCTTGCAGAGTTCTAGACACTGAAGAGACTCAAAGTCGTAGACCTTCCAGGATATGGACAGTTTATGCTGGAGGAGCAGAACGTACACAAGCCTTGGAAAAACAAATAATGAAAAACGTCTGTGCGTTATCCTCAAAGTTGGGACAGGGAACTGGGTTTAAATTTCTTTAAGTTTTCTATATTTTTCTAGAGGAGAGACTATAGCTCAAATTTAGACTCTGACAGGTAAAATATGCATCTTAAAATTTACAGAATAATTACATTAAATGTACAGAGCAAATGTGAATGATTATCAAACTATGTGGTGTGAGGAAGAACAAGGCAAGAAAGGAGAGAAAAAGAAAGAAAAAACTATAGAGATAAATCTCAATATATCACTCATTAAAGGTGAAAGTAGATACACTAAATGCTCCAAAATGTTTTAAAAGCTATAAGCTATTTACCATATAACACATCTAAATCACAAGAAAATAGAACTGTTGAAACTGAAAGGATGGAAAACATGTCCCATCTTTTGAAAACATAAATAGATATCTTGAATAAATATCTTGACTAGGTAAATACTATTCAAAAGAAAAGTAGGTATGGCTATATTAATATCAGTCAAAATAGACTTTATTTTATAAACTTTATTTTATAAAGGCTTCCTGGAGATTAATGTACTAGGCATATATAATACGAAAATGTTTGAAGCAGGAAAAAGAACTACAAGGGGAGAGAGAAATATCTACCATAGTAATGAGAGATGCTAACATATCTGTTTCATTATTTGGTAGCTCAAGCAGAGGAAACATTAGAAAACCCATAGAAGATTTAAAGAACCCATATACGAGCTCTAGCTAATGAACATGTATCGAACATTATACCTAAAGCTGCAGAATGTTTTTCAATATTTGATGGTATATTAGCTAGGAAGTAAATATGACCAAAATACAATGGAGAAATCAGTATTAAAAAGAAAATTAGAAAAAGTCTTATATCTTTCAAAATTAAAACATGTCTAACTCAAAGGCCAAATAAGAAATGGCAAAGGAAAATAGAATGTATTTTGAAGTGATGATAGTAGAAATTATGCTTAACAAAACAGACTTGAGGCAGCTAAAGTATTATGAGGAGAGAGATTTTTTTCATCTTCAAAATACTTTAGAAAAGAAGGGATGGAAATTAATAATCTTAGCTCCTTCATTTTCATCTTAAAATTGTTACCTAATAAGTTATCTTTAGATAACAGGTTAAACTTCAAAAGAGAGCGAAGGGGAACAATAGTATAGAAGCAGAAAATAAATCCAAGAAGGAGGTATTAAAAGTACACATATTTATTGGAAAACATTTTTAAAAGATATAGATGTGGAAAAAAATACCTTTTTCACTGATCTGAAGACTCAGTAAAGCTAAAAGTTTAATTCTTCATGACTTGATGTATAGAATAATCAAAGTCAAAACTCTCTAGTTTGTTTTTAGTTTGTCTGTTTGTGAAACGTGACCAGTTTGATTTCCAAATGTATTTGAGGAACACTGCAAGGTTTGGTAGAAGCTTGGAGAATGTTAGGAGGTGTTGGTCTTATCAGATAACAAGACTCAATGTAAAACTCAATGTAAAATGTACTGAAGCCTATGGTTTTGCACAGCGTTAGACAAATGGGCCAGTGGAGGACCCATGAACCAGCCCTCATATATGTGAAAGTAGTGTGAAAAAGCTGGCATGGGCTTCCTTTCTTCCTTTTTTTCCTCCTTCCCTTCCCTTCCCTCCCCTTCCCTTTCTTTCTTTTCTTTTTCTTTTTCTTTTCTTTCCTTCCTTCCTTCCTTCCTTCCTTCCTTCCTTCCTTCCTTCCTTCCTTCCCTCCTTCCCTCCTTCCCTCCTTCCCTCCTTCCCTCCTTCCCTCCCTCCCTCCCTCCCTTCCTCCCTCCCTCCCTTCCTCCCTCCCCCTAAATGGTATGGAACAACTGATTATCCACATAGAGACACACTTATTTCAAGTCCTAGGTCACATCGTATAAAAAATACATCCCAAGTGGAGTAAAGGCTTAACTTTGCAAGGAAAAAAAATTTTTTAACTTAGAAAGTGATTCGGACAAAGTATTTATGACATCAGGGTAGAGAAAGATTACTTAAGACAAATTAGATCTCCATTAAGGATAATTTGACTACATTTGATTTTTAGATTCCCTTTTCATCAAAAGACCCTCGGACAAAAGGGAAAAGGTAAGCCACAACCCAGAAAAAAAAAATCATGGCCAATGAATATAACTAAAGATAATACTAATGTATTTATAAATAATTTTACCATCCTCTAAGAAAAAAACAAAAAATGAAGTGGTAAAAGACATGAACTTGCACCTCAGACTGGTATGACCAATAAAAATATGAAAATGCTTTTAATATCATTAGTAATCAGAAATAGATTTACTGTAACTCAAATAATAAAAGCATTTGATCCCACAAAATTGGGAAATATAACAAAGTCTGAGAGTAACAATTTTAGGTGGGAATGTGCAGCTACCAAAACACGTATCCACCACTGATGAGAATAGTTCACTGCTTGGACTGTGGAGAATATTTGTCACTGCCTCCTTAATTAAAGAAGTTCTCACCTATGACCCAGAAATTCCATTTCTTTGTTCACGTGCACATGCCCCTTACCCATGTGCACCAGCAATAGTTGTGGTAGCATTGTTTGTATTTTTTAAATATACTGGGAAAAAACTGAAGTTCTTTCGTGATAGAATGAAATAATTGTGGTATATTCATACAAGAATTACTACTCAGCAGTGAAAATTGATGAACCTTAAGAATATGTTGAACAATAAAAGTAAATCTTAGAAAAAAAGGGTGATTTTATTTATTTAAGGTCGGTCAGTATATGTAAAAATTAATAGCATATTGTTCAGGAGTGTCATTTCATGTGGTAAAATTATAATGCAAAGCAAGAAAATGATGAAAACAAAATTTAGGACGGTAGTTACCTCTGATGGAATGGGGAAGGGGTAGGATCTGCACCAAACAGAAAGATAATGATGATTTTATGTTTTTCTTATGATGGGTGGTAGGTAGAGTGTTGTATTTTTTTGTTCTTTACATTTATTTTATAAATGACCTTTTAATATATATAAAATTAATAAGTATGTAGCATACTGATTTGTCTTAATTAGATATTCTTGGTTATTAAGTGTGATATTATAGAATAATAATGGACAGAGCAGTGGCATACAGTGTTGAAAATTGGCCTCTGGAGTTTGGGTTTGAAATGATAGTAGGAAATGTTCATGAATTCTGGGTCAGAAAACTGGTTGAGAATCATAAAATCATATAACTATACAGCTATACTTACAGTCTATATTATATAACTATACTATAGTCTATAACATAGAACTGTAACTATACAATATATATCTAATTGACTGAAATAAGATGGGAGAGAGGGAGAGAAAGGGAGATGTTAAAAATCTGTTGTAGAAGACAAGGCATGAGGGTGATCCCTAACCTGAATTCTAGTGGTTGCTATGGAAACACAAAGGAAAAAGGCAGTTGCTAGACCTATTGCAGAGAAGGAAATGGCACACTTTAGTATAAGATTCTACAATGAGGATTTAAAAAAAAAGTTTTCTCTCATTATCTAAGCAGACCAAGTGAAAACATGAACAATATAAGGATAATTGTGGCCAGAATCTGCCAGTATTGTAGTTAAGAGATGAAGAGTTGAATCTGAGCTACGTAGTGGGTAATTGCTCCAACTTTTCTGCTGCTATAGAAAAGAGCAAAATAAATTAGGTTTCTTATGCATCATTTCCAGCCCCTCCTGAAATTACTTCATCATCTAACAGCTTTCTGTAATCATTTACATGTTGAATAGGACTGCCACCCCAATTCTTAGGAATTTGTCAGAGACAAATGGTCAGAGACCATTTAAAGCTTCCTACGACCTCTATCAATTGATTCTTCTCTTAAGCTGTAAAGAATTGATTCTTCTTTTATATTAAACTTTGTAATTTGAGTTTTAGAGTTTGTATCTCTCATTTCTTAAACTTTTCTTTAGACCAACCTTAAAGGCTTGATCCACCTAAGTTTGAACACAAGTACAGTAGCTAAA